TGAATGAAGGGTTGGTGATAATCACCTTCCCACTCAAATCCTGTCTCATTACCTGAAGTGTTTTTCCTGCAAAGTGACACACAAATGATTTTCTAGTCTTCGCTTTCTTCTCATAGGCCACCATATGCAGGGCCAGGGAAAGTCCAGGGTGTGTTAACTATGCCAGTGAATCTGCCCGGGATCCTTCTAAGTGCTTCCGGGAACACGGTGCACAGACATTATATTTGCCTAGGTCTCTATCAGAGTCCAGCTGAATCTGGCACAAAGGCAACTGACAACCTCTGAATATCCCTTACTGAGCCCATATAATTAGTGAAGGAAATATAGCATGACAACATGTGTATCATCCAAATCTTCCCTCCTACTCACGTGCTCCTGTCACACTTGCTGACTCAAAAGTGGTCCTTATTTTTATTTTTTTTTTGAAACAGGGTCTCGCTCTCTCACCCAGGCTGAAGTGCAGTGGCACAATCACGGCTCACTGCAGTCTTGAACTCCTGTGCTCAAGTGATCCTCCCACCTCAGCCTCCCATGTAGCAGGGAATATGGGCACGTGCCACCACGCCTGGCTAATTTTTTTTTTATTTTTTTGTCGAGTCAGGGTCTCACTATGTTGCCTAGGCTGATCTTGAACTCCTGGGCCCAAGTGAGCCTCCCACTTCAGCTTCCTAAAGTGCTGGGATTACAGGCGTGAGCTACCATTTCTGGGCTCAAAGGTGGTCTTGACTCAGAGGAGGGAACTTCTCACTGCCAAAGTGACCTTAGATCCAAAGTTACCCAGTACGATCCTCAGCAGGAAAAGGCACTGACACGCAGTAGGTATTCAAAAAATGTTAGACACCACACAAACAAAAGTGACCAATTATAAAATGTCTGGCTTCATTTCGCCAAGTTCATCAGGAGTCAGCTTAAGGAACACCACATCCTTGTCATTCACCTCTATCACTCCGATTCCACGCTCCTGCAGTGATGGAATTCCTCCTGGAGCCAGGTGGTTCCCAGGTCTCTTTTGAGGCAATATTTCTCTTCTAAGAATTTGATACAGCCTCTGAAGTAGGGTGAGGGTGATGGCATCTAGAACTAGGGACTTCAGTGTGGCCAGAGGACAGCCGCCTCCACATCATCACCCGGGAGCTGGTTACAAATGCAGGATCAGACCCCAGGCCAGGCCTATGGAATCACAACCTGCAGCTTAACTCCAACCCCAGGGAATTCCACACGCATCTAAGTGTGAGAAGCTCTGGTCTATAAGTGGTGATTGCAAACAGGGGTCTGGAAGCCCCTACACCACCTCCTGGTTCTCCAGACATTAAAATTGACAAGCTTCAGAAGGAAGAGGGCACTGATGACCATAAAATGAGGCTGTCAATAGCTTGCTGCTCCCTCGTGTAGACAGACCGGGATTAAATTGGCTTCGAGAGACTCATCCAAGCGTGGATGCAATAAAAGGCTCTGAGGAGGGAGCCCAGGAATCCCCCCAGGGGCTGAGCTTTGGGGTGCAGTTTTAATTTCACAGGACAATTCTTGGGCTTCTCTCCTGGTGCATCCAAGATTTTGCAGAAGAAAATGGCTGCAGAGATCAAATTCCAGCTTCCCCTAGTTACTTAACCACTCAGCCTAGGAACATTACCAAACCTCGCAAGGCTCTGCCTTCATCTTCAAGTGGCAATAACAGCCATGATGGAGAGGATTTGGAAGGGGGGAAAGAGAATGCATGAAGAGAGCTTAGAGCACTTAAGAAGTGCTCAGTAAACATCAGTTACTGTCTTTTTACCATTCGTAACTCTAGAAGGAAGAACAAACAGGAACATTTCGCTCCATGATCAACCTAGGCACAGGATAGAAGGTAGAGTGGAGGAAATCAATCCAAATGAGCCCAACAGTGAACACAAATTCAAAAACACATTTCTGCTAGGCTCTCCTAATGCGCCCCTTCCGCTTGGTGCCCTGAGCTTCCATTCCTCTTCACAGCAAGGCATCCTTTAATTCAGAATGGCCAGTGGTGACTTAGGTATCAACTCATCCTAGGGGCTCCCCCAGGCAAAGAGGCCAGTTTTCAATGGATGGTATGTTACCAGGGAGCCTCAGAGGAACAGTATGAAAGCACCTCACTCTTTTATCTGTATATCTCCCCTCCTGGAGTTCAGATGGGCCAAAAGCATGGACTCAGGGGGCTCAGGCATGTTTCGTAAGCCTTAGGCCCTCCACTTCCAACCATGCCTGAAAGTGGATGGAAGAAATGATGTCTACCTCGTTGCTTCACAGGTCAATTTGGAAATTGTTCACACACAAGGGATGACGACTAGTAAGAGAAAAAAATGCAATGAAAAAATTGGAAAGATAACCATTTTAGTAGCTTGTATTTTAACACAAGGATCTGAGCCAATCACATAAATCATATACTTCTCACCAGGATATGAACAGACACCATGCTCTCTGCTGAAGAAAAGGTGAACAGGAGAGAAACAAGAGTCAGGGTCTCTATTCTCCCAACTAACATTTGCCCCAATTTTGCCCCTAGGGGACATATGACATTGTTTGGAGAAATTTTTGGTTATCACAAGTATCTAGTAAGTAAAGGACAGGAATGGTACTAAACTGCCTCCATTGCACAGGACAGCATCCTGCAACAAAGATTTTGTTCAGCCCTAAATGTCAATACTGCCAAGGTTGAGCTTCACCTCTTATCTGCCTGAAACTCCTTCTCTTACCACTGCACTACGTGGTCTCCCTTCGTGTTTCCTATTGTTCTGAAGATAAAATAATTTTTTTTAAACGGGACCATATATCAGATTACCACAGCTCTGTAGCCAATGCTGAAATTTTAAAACACACAAAAAAGCTCTGTGCACATTGCTCTCCTTTGACCATCTCCAGTGCTTCCACCCCAAGGCTTTTGAACTTGGTTTTCCCTCTGCCTAAGCAGTCTCCCCGCTGCCCCAGCCCCATCATGTAGGTTCAGGGCTCACACACCATCTCCTTCACATCACCTAAGGTCTTCTCAATAACGGCCTTTCCTGACAGTCCCCACTGTCTCCCCCTGCCCTGCCAGAGCATCCATCACCCTCAGGTGGGTCAGGAGTTTTTACTTGTATATTATCTTACTCTTCCCACTAGACTATAAGCTCCAGGAGGGCAGGCATTTTCTCCTGTGTCACTGCATTTTCCTCACCACCCCAACAGTGTCTGGCACACAGCAGGAACTCAAAGGATATCTGGTGAAAAATGATGAATGAATGAATGGATTAACAAAAAAACAAACTAGCTTTGATTTCTTCCTCAGAAATTTGAGAGCTTCAGCATTCCCCAAGCTTTGACACCATCAGAGGGAAAGATCTCTGTGTAGAATCCAGTTCATCTTGCTACAAGATGAACAATAACCACTACAATAACCACTGTTCTACATCAGGGGCTGGCACATTTTTTCCTGTAAGGGGCCAGATAAGTGCCTTCAGCTTCGCAGGCCCATTCAGTCTTGGGAGCAACTATTCAACTCTACCGTTATCGCACAAAAGTGGCACAGAAAGTACACCAACAAGGGAGCATGGCTGAGTTCCAGCGAAACTTTATTTAAAGACATTGAAATTTGAATTTCATAGACTTTTCACGTGTCAAGAAATATTGTTCTTCTTTTGATTTTTTTTCCCCCAACCATTTTAAAATATAAAAACGATTCTTAGCTTACAGGCTATTCAAAAGCGGGAGATGGGCTAGATTCGGCCATGAATTTAGATGGTTCATTCAATAATACGACACCACATTAAGACGGCCCAGAGTCCTTTCACAATGGCCATCTCATTCATCCTCAGAACAATCCTAACAGGTTGGTTCTTCATATCCTTCTTTACTCCAGTTTACCGCTGAGGAAACTGAGGCACAAAGTAACTCATTGATATAGTTCAGATATTTGTCCCCTCCAAATCTCATGTTAAAATGTGATCACCAATCCCAGCACTTTGGGAGGCCAAGACAGGCGGATCATGAGGTCAGGAGATCGAGACCATCCTAACTAACACGGTGAAACCCCCGTCTCTACTAAAAATACAAAAATTAGCCGGGCATGGTGATGGGCGCCTGTAGTCCCAGCTACACGGGAGGCTGAGGCAGGAGAATGGCATGAACCTGGGAGGTGGAGCTTGCAGTGAGTGGAGATCACAACACTGCATTCCAGCCTGGGCGACAGAGCGAGATTCCGTCTCACAAAAAAAAAAAAATGTGATCACCAATGTTGGACATGGGGTCTAGTGTGTCACGGGGCAGCTCTTGCCATCCTGGGCTAATGAGTGAGTTGTTGATCTGTTAGTTCCCACGAGAGCTGATTGTTAAGAAGAGCCTGCCGGGCGCGGTGGCTCAAGCCTGTAATCCCAGCACTTTGGGAGGCCGAGACGGGCGGATCACGAGGTCAGGAGATCGAGACCATCCTGGCTAACACAGTGAAACCCCGTCTCTACTAAAAACACAAAAAACTAGCCGGGCGAGGTGGCGGGCGCCTGTAGTCCCCGCTACTCGGGAGGCTGAGGCAGGAGAATGGCGTAAACCCGGGAGGCGGAGCTTGCAGTGAGCTGAGATCCGGCCACTGCAAGCTCCGCCTCCCGGGTTTACGCCATTCTCCTGCCTCAGCCTCCCGAGTAGCGGGGACTACAGGCGCCCGCCACCTCGCCCGGCTAGTTTTTTGTGTTTTTAGTAGAGACGGGGTTTCACTGTGTTAGCCAGGATGGTCTCGATCTCCTGACCTCGTGATCCGCCCGTCTCGACTCCAGCCCGGGCGACAGAGCAAGACTCCGTCTCAAAAAAAAAAAAGAAGAAAGAGCCTGGCACCTCCTCCCCTCTCTCTCTTGCTCCTACCTCACCATGTGATAAGCCAGTGTTCTTTGCCTTCAATCCTGGTGGAAGCTTCCCTGAAGCCCTCACCAAGAGCAGACGCTGACGTCATGCTTAGAGTGTACAGCCTGCAGAACCGTGAGCCAAGTAACGACAGAGCAAGACTCCGTCTCAAAAAAAAAAAAAAAAAGAAGAAGAGCCTGGCACCTCCCTCCCCTCTCTCTCTTGCTCCCTACCTCACCATGTGATAAGCCAGTGTTTCTTTGCCTTCAATCCTGAGTGGAAGCTTCCTGAAGCCCTCACCAAGAGCAGACGCTGACGTCATGCTTCGTGTACAGCCTGCAGAACCGTGAGCCAAGTAAGCCTCTATTTTTTTTTCTTTTTTTTTAGAGAAATGTTGTAAAGCTTTTAGAGAAACGTTGTAAAATGTTCCCAGCACCAGGAATGGTCGTGGAGTCGCAGCAGCAGGCACAGGCAGGTGACCCCCACAGAGTCTCACATGGCGAAGAGGATGAGGAAGGAAACCATCAAACAGAAGAGCCCCACGACCTCAGACAGGGCAAAGCCCCGAAAGGCACAGAAGAAGAGCTGCTGCTTGAGAGACAGGTTTCTGGCATCGCCAATGATCAGGCTGCCAAACACCATTCCAATGCCAGCCCCTGAACCACGCACACCAACTGTGGCTGCCCCAACACCAACAAACTTGGCTGCTGTGTCAGCGTCCCAGGAAACAACACTGATCTGGAACTCCCATGTGGCCACCTGGAGTAGGCAGCTGCTGTAGGAAGGCTGTTTAGATGAATTCTCTGGGCTGTTCAAGAGGGAGGCAGGCACAAGCCTGATTAGACCCCTGGTACCACAGTGGATCAGAGCTAGAGAAATGAGTGGTGCCCTGGGGGTCTGCATTTTTTAAGCCTGCACTCCCACTGCCCTGCAGCCCCGCTAAGCCCACAGCACTTGCCCAGCTCTAACCCTCTCTTCTTTAAAAATGACTCAGCCTCAGGTATTCCTTTACAGCAACACAAAGAGACTCAGACGGTGACTTATCCCAGGTTGCTGAGCCTTGGCCTTCGGACGCCACTGCCAGAATTCTTCCTGCACTTAATGGACTGTCTCAAAACCTTGCCAATAATGAATACAAAGACCTCAACTAATCCATCATCGATTCAGAGAACAGCAGGGAGCATTTCAGTGAATCGAGCATTGGAATCAGCAAAGATTCTTGTCTGAAGACACAAATACCAAATCAAGAGGATCACCCGGCCTCATCCATCTTATGGCACAGATGGTCGTTCAACCTGCCTTGGAGAAAGAAAAGGTGGAGACCAGCATCCTCCTGCCCTTTGGTGTTACAGGAAAAAGTTAATGACACAGAAAATTGGTTGTGTTGTCCAGGATTGCAAACGAGAATCTTAAAGGTGAAGGCTTCATCATAAACACACAGGGGTTATATATTAGAACCTAAGCCAGAATTATTTTTTCCACCTTAATTTCACAAACGTTCTGGAAAGGTAATTAAGACACTCAAACCAAATGCAAACACTGGGGGCGGGGGAGATTTACCTCCCAAATCTGTGAAGTCTGAACTGCATTCCTCTTACTTTCGAATTTAACAATAATCCCCGAATATATAAAATATCACCTTTTAACTCTCTCCAAAGTTACTGCAACCAGTATTCCCTCTGTGTATGTGAGACATGGCACAGAAAGACTAAGTTTCTGTGTTTCAAATTTCAAACACTAAGTCAAGGAAGGGTACTACCCTGGCCCACTTGTCCCTCCCTCTACCACCGCCCACCCCCACGCCCCGCCCGGAGTCAGGACATTTGGAAGCACTGGCAGAAATGCAAAAGTAGCCTTGAGCTCCACCCCTCAAGACCTGCATACCTAGACTCAGGAGGGAAATGGCCATAGAAACCAATGACCTCCCTCAGCGTCTCGTGTGCAACCTGGAGTTGCTCCCTATTCCCAAAATGCTTTTGCTGGGGAATTTTTAAGGCAATTGTTAAAGCCTAACGGGGTCTCCAAGAAGACATCTGGGACATGCTGATTGGTGAAACCCAGACAAAAAAGGCTACGCACCTGAGACTGCTCTTCACACTCTGGAATTCAAGATGGCACCTCCAGTTGGGTTCTGTCCATCACATTGGTAGTATTTGGTTTACTCTATCTCCAAAATGTTTTCCCCTGTCCCACCTCTTCACTGGTCCTACAACTAACCATCTAGCCTGAATTCAGTTCCCTAAAAAATACTTTTCATCATGCTCCTTCTTGTTTAGAGAACTTCCACAGTCCTTTTCTGGAGAAACTCCCTCTGCCTCAGTAATAGCCTATATTGATGACCCTGGTTTCCCAAACCAGGACACTTAAAAGGGGGCACTGTGAATAATTATGCCAGGACAAGAGCAGTAAACAGAACTCTCCAGGGAAAACTGGGACACAGAATCACCCCAACTCTAAGGTCTGGAAGGGAGAATACCCTGACTTATTTTCTTAGCTGTACTATATTTCTAACTGAACAGTTCCTAGCACAGCACCTGACATAGCACAGGCACCCGATAATAAATATTTGTGGAACTGAATCTATAAAACAGGAGCCTTAAATGATATCACAGATACTACTAACTAGAAAGAATTTGCCTCCACAAAGGATCCTGTAGATCACTACAAATTAAAATCATACCAGAAAATCACTGCTTCTGATAGTCTATTTCATTTTCTTTCTACCCTGGATATTTTTAAATCTCTCACTAATAGTGATTTTGTATATCTTAATAATTATTAATAGTACAGCCAGCCCTCTATAACTTGATTCTGCAACTACAGATTAAATCAACCACAGACTGAAAATATGTAGGGGGGAAAATACAACAATTTTAAAAGTACAAATAAAAAACAAAACAGTGGAACAACTACTCACATAGCATTTACATTGTATTAGTTATTAATATTATAAGTGATCTGGAGATGATTTAAAGTATATAGGAGGATGTGTTGTAGGTTATACGCAAATACTATACCATTTCATAGCAGGGACTTGAGCTTCCTTGGATTTTGGTATTTGAGAGGGGTCCCAGAACCTATCCCCCATGGATACCCAGAGATGATTGTGGTTACCATTACTGAGTCCTGCATTTGCTAAGTAGCCAAGGAACCTCAGCTATATTCTCTCAGCAGCCCTAATAAGGAAAGCGATAGTGTGCCTCGTCTCCAAGTGAAGAAATTGACGCTCTGCAAGGATAGATAATTCACTTGTGGTCACAGACTCTGCCCAAGGTCATTCCCTTCCATTGACCAGAAAACTCACCAACCAGAATATTTCAGTTCAAAAGCATTATTTTGTTTAAACCATTTCATCACCAAGACGAGGTGGCATAACATTCAGCAAACAAAAAAGCATATGAAATGGGCCATGCATACTCCAACTATACCACTGACTGTCAACTGCATTTGCTGTAACATAATGCAGATTCAAACTCAGGAAAGCAAGAACACCCAGAAGAAAGCCAGCAAGACCCGATGATAACATACCACACAAGCCTTCTATGAGCAGAAAGCAGAAAGGCAGAAACTGGCATCCTCTTCTCCAACGTGCAAAGAGGTTTTGCTGGCCAGCCTCGCAAGTGGGAAATACACTTTCCCGAGCGACGCAGAGAAGGAAGTCCCTGCTTGCCTGAAGGGAGGTGAGGACAAGGCTGGGAGGAGGAAGAAGAGATTCTATTATTAAACAAGACAGATGAAAATTCCTTTTGAAAAAGGGAAGGGAACTTAGGCTATAAACTCCCTGAAAGTGGAGACTGATTCAACCCAGGGGTTGTCCCACACTTCTCCAGCATTTTGTCCACCTTATCTTTCTCAATGAAATTCCACACACAAAGTCTAGAAAATTTATCTCCCATAATACTTTGATTTATGGTAATTTCAAACAAAAGGTTTTAGGTCTTTTTTAAAGTAAAATATACATATTTAAAGTTCCCCCTCCAACCTACTCATTTTAAAGTATGTATACATTTCCCAAATCTATAAGACTAGGCTGTCATGAGTACATTGCTCAAATTACAAGCTATCAAACATTTTACAGTAATACAATGGGTTGTTGACTCCTCTCTTAAAAAAAAAAAAATCAAGAAACTCACATACACTTACAAGAATCACTAACCAACTTCTCATAAATACACTCCCAGGAAATAAACTGAGCATCTCAATCCCAACAAACAGAAGGCTTTGTCTGCCAAACAAGACATTCTCTTCATTAATGTCTCCCTTGTATTGATTATGGAAGACATGCTGTACAAACAGTGTTTCCACAAAGAGGAGCGAGGAGCAAAGTTTTGCTGCAGTCACTCACTCCCTGCAGATTAAATTCTGCTCCTGGAAGCATATTCAGCCACCATTGATCTCAAAGGCTTTAAACTAAGCAAGGTGGGCACGGCGTTTCCTACAGCTCCTAATCATATAAACATTCAGTCTAAAAATGAACTGGGTTCTAAGAACAGCACAAAGCGACCTTCTTATCTTCATCATGCATAAATTGCAAATAGCAGTTCACAGACTCCAACCCTTCTTCCATTTCTGGTTCAAGGGCCCCTATTTAGTCACATGGCTGTAGTCTAGAACCAACATTGCATGAAATGGAAGTAAGGTTTGGTTAAGATCGGTTTAGCAGTAGAAAACCAGATACAGGTGTAAAAACAATTGGCACATCTCCTGCATAAACACTGTTGTATGAGGTCTTACTAAACAGAAAATGAACACATGGCTGACTAGATTTGTCAGCCTCCCCAAGACCAAGTTCTGGCCAGTGGAATGGGAGCAGAAGTGATGGGGACCTCCTCTGGGCCTGATTCAGTAAGCTCAATGTCCTTATCCCCTACAGCTAGATGCCAAAAAAGTAGATGACCTTCACGGTGGCTTTGAAAGCCTGTGTTAAAGATGGAAGATTCTCGATGTGGAAGGAGCCTAGGTCCCTGAAACACCAAATGGAGGAGAGCTGCCCAACCAAGAATACCTACTCTAGGCTATTCACATCAGTGGGAAATAAGTTTTTCTTGTGTTCATTCACCAAGATTTTGGGGCTTATGAAACAGAAGTTCATGTTACCTTAAATAACACAGGCAATGTGGAAAGTCCATTTATAAATATCTAAATTAGAGGCCCCACTGGATCTCAGGCTTGCTAGCATGTGCCTGTCCATGAATTCCAATGTCTCATGTCATTCATGAGTTCTACTCTATTCTACACCTCTGCAACCATGGTTGTGGGGGTGGGGGCCTTTTATTGCAATTTTTGGTTTTAGAACGCGAATATCATGAGAGTAAGATGAAATTCCTTTGTCAATGTTCAACAGGTATAAATTGAGCATCTATTATATGCCAGATCCTTCTCTTAGATGCTAAGGTACAGAGACATGTTTTCTGCCCCCTTATATAGGGGAAAACAGCAGACTCGTAAACAAAAACTGTACTTCAAATATGCTGTGTTAAAACAGAAGCAGGTACAAGATACAAAATAATAGAAGGCTGTCTTAGTCCCTTTTCACACTGCTGATAAAGACATACCTGAGACTGGGCAATTTACAAAAGAAAGAGATTTCATGAGCTTATAGTTCCATATGGCTGGGGAAACCTCACAATCACGGTGGAAGGCAAAGAGGAGCAAGTCACATCTTACATGGATGGCAGCAGGCAAAGAGAGAGATTGGGCAGGGAAACTCCCCCTTATAGAACCATCAGATCTCATGAGACTTATTCACTATCACAAGAACAGCATGGGAAAGACCTGCCCCCATGGTTCAATTACCTCCCATGGGATCCCTCCCATAACATGTGGGAATTCAAGATGGATTTGCATGGGAAAAATGTTACTAATTGTTTGAGGGAAACTGGTTAAGAAAGTCATCATAGGGAAGATGACCTAGCAGGGTGTAAAGGATAATAGTCATTTCGGTTGTGCTGAAGTGATGGTGGTGATGATAGTGGTAGTGGTGGTAATGATGGTGGTGGTGGTGTGGCAGTGGTTGTAGTTGTAGTGGTAGAAACAGCAGGAGTAACAGTAGCATCAACACATAGAAGGAAGATAAAAGCATTTAAGAAAGAAAAAATCTTACTTGTAAAGAGGTTCAAGGGGGCCAGCTATTAGAAAGACTGTCACACCACATAAATAATCGCAAGAGATAATTACCTCTGCCACTGCCACATTTCTCATATATGATCATAACCACCAGAAGCAATCATATCATCATTGCCAAGTTAAGGATAAAGCTGATGGTTGGATAATCCAGGCTTATGGAAAACGGTCAAGATTTCCTTTATTCAGGGGACCAGAATGAGACGAGTGACCCTGTTATTTCTGGCACATCTCAAGGTTAAAAGGGTTTATTTAGCTTTGTTTTTCCCAGTTATGGGATGTGATGCACACCCTTGCTTCAACAGCAACAGAGCAAATGTAAATTCTGCTTTACAAAAGCAAACCTCTATTCAGTGTTTCCTTTTTGTTTTTTGCAGTCACTGATATGTGCTTTACAACTCTTATTTAATCCACACGACAACCCTGGCAGAGAAGGAAGAAGGTTACGATACTTCACTTTACAGAGGAAGCAATTGAAGCCCAGAGAGGGTGAGAAACTTGCCAGGGTCATGAAGCTTGAAATAAATGACATGAACCAGCTTCAAACCCAAACAGTCTGACCCCAGAGCTGAGTTGATTAGATGGGTAAGCCAAAGGGCAGGCATTACAGGCAGAAGGAACAGCAGTACAAAGGTGTCATGGACGGGGGAAATAGAACAGTATATGGAGGGAATTACAAGAAGTTAGAGGAGAAAAGAATTCCTAATCTGGGTGTGGCTCAAGGGCAAGGAGACCAGTGAGGATCCTCTGTCCTAAGACTGGTAAGTGGATGAGGGTTTGCTTGCATACGAAACTGTGAGGTTAGTACTCGTGGTAGATTGCAAAAAACACCCCAATTCCATATACCTCCTGATGCATTCCCTTGGCGCTGTGACTCTGCAGTGCCATCCTGGGCAGGGCAGTCTGCCAGGAGCCTTGATGCTGGGCCTGGCCATGTGATTTGCTGTGGCCAATGGGATGGCAGCAAACATGCTGGGGAGGGGGTGAGAAAAACACTTAAAAGCAGTTACATGAGTGGCTCACTGGCTCTTGTACCTTTGCCAGATCCATGAGAATGTGCCTGGGCTACACCTCTAGAGGAGGATGAGAGAGACACAGGAAGCTGAGACAAATCATCTCAGTCATTCCCCCCAGCCAAAGCCATCCAGACACATAAGTAAGGCCAGCCAAGACCAGCAAAGCCCTCTGGCCTGGCCAGCCCAGATGTGTGAACAACAAACACTGACTACTGTGTGCTACGGAGGTAGTTTGCTGGGCAGCACTGTGGTGGCATTAACCAATAAGTACTATTGCCATCACTGCCATTTTACAAATGGGGAAACCAAGGCCCAGAGAAGGGAAGAAACAGGGTCAAGATGACAATGGCTAGCAAAAGCGGCAATCTGAAAGCAGGCAGTGGTGCCAAAGCCTTTGCCCTTAGCCATTTTCATGTGCTAAAACTTCTCTCAAGGAAGCAGCAAAAGCAGGATCTGTCTCAGCAGGAGGCAAAGCATGCTGCCTGGCTCCCAGGTGGGGCTGCTGGGCTGGGAGAAGGGGCTCTGGATATCCTGCTAATTGGCAGCATTCGCCCTCTCCAGTCATTGATTTAGGTTGGCAGTGACAGAAACCATCTGCTCGCACTTCACTTCCTTGCCCTCCCTGCGAGCTCTGCAACATGCAGAGGGAGCCCGGCACACCTGAGCTTACCCCACCTGTCCCTGCACCGAACCGTCACAGCTCAGACCCTTCTCTCCAAAGATGCCTTCTGGGGCCAGCACCTGGAGCCCGCAGAGGCTGTCTCTCCAGCTGCACTCTTCCCCCCTGAATCTTCCGGCTTGGCAGCCCCTTCCAGGAAGTCTGCAGCAATGTCTCCAGCACCTGCCTCTGTTCCCACCTTCCATCACCTCCCCTCCTTGTTTCCAGATTCCTTATGCCTGGCTCTGAGGTTATCCCACTTAGAGGTCGACTGTTCTGACAGCCAGCTGTATATGTCCCCTCTCCCCTCCCCATGGTCCCTCCTCTAGCCAAGTAACGAATGACGGCTTGGCAAAGAAAGCACAAGCCCTTGCCAAAATAAAAGGTCTGTTGGAGCAACTCTCAAGAGTTACAGTGTCCTCTTAGCCCTCCCGCCCGGGGAACATTTCCTGCAAAGCTTCCATCTTTGTCGGACACCAGAATCCCAAAGGTGATCATTGTAAATTTAGCACCTAGACTAGGTTTCTCAAAGTGGCACAGCACAGCTAGAATCCCTGAGGGTGCCTGTTTGATTCCAAGCCTCATCCTGGCCCTAATGAATCGACTCTCTGAGGGACACCTCTGAATAAGTTTCCAAGTGATTCTCCCACTCCAACATTTGAAAACAGCCTTTCTAATGTGCCGGACTGTCCATCCTGGTCAAGTCATCAAGTAATTTACATGTGTCATCTCACCTCCGCCTCACTTCAACTCTAGAAGCAGATACGATCTTTCTACCATTTTAGATATGAGGAAACTGAGAATCTGTGATGTCATATAACCCCCAGGTCACACGGCTAATATGTGGCAATGTTGGACTTTGAACAAAGCTCAATCCCATGCTCAAAACTTGCTCTGAAATGCTCCTGCGATAGGTGACTTATGTATTTCAGGATGCTGATGAAATTGGATATCTGTGTTTGCTTGTCATACTTCTCCATGATCCCTAAAACCACGATGAATGGAAACGCACAAATCAGACACCTGATTTTTGGGACATTCCTTCCACAGTCACTTTTGTTGAGTGAGTGGAGAATAACTACCGTGTTTCCAGAATTTGAAGAATGACTTGATGATGTCCCCAGTTCTCAAAATGTTTCTCTTGGAGCTGATTTTAAGTCCTATTCCAGCCTCACTTCCCACCCCGTGACAGAAGGTGGGGTGACTTAGGAGTAAAAACAACGCTAGTAATCTTTATAACTCACCGTCACAGAGATAATGCTTTGAATCACCTCCCACCTCATCTTTTTTTTTATAGCAAAGCATGAGACACAAAATAGGTAAATAATGAAACAATGGACAATTAAAGCTGAACTGCTAAGCAAATAATAAGGGAGTGAAAGGAGCAGCTACATTTGCTGAATGCTTGCCAAGGCCAATAACCTGTGTTAAGCTCTTTACATACATTATCTAATTTGGCCCTAAGTGATATGATCTCCATTTTACAGATGAATAAACTTAAGGTGATAGAGGTTAAAGTAACTTGTCCAAGATCAAGCAGCTAGTTAATGGTACAGCTCTGACTCCAAGCTACTCCCGAATCACTCTGAAATCAATTGCTCTGAAAATACTTGCTATGCAAAGTGTGGTCCCCAGACAGGCAGCATCAACGTCACCCAGGAGCTTTTCAGAAATACAGACTCTCAGGCCACACCCCAGACCTATGAAATCAGGACCCAGCAAGTGCAGTTGTCTGAGAAGCGTTGTCTAGAACTGGGTTGCTTAGCCTCTGAACTACTGACATCACGTGGAGGGTAGCTCTCTGCTAGGGCGTGTGGGGGATGCTGTCCCATGCAGTGTCCCTGGCTTCTACCCACTAGATGCCAGTAGCAACTCTCACCCCTTTACAAGTCATAATGACCAAAAATGTCTCCAGCATTGCTAAATGTCCCCTGGGAAAGTGAAATAGCCCTCAGGTGGAATAGAACCGCTGGTGTCTATAACAGCCCTGTTCTGCCAGGCTGAATTTCTGGCATAAATCTGGGGTTTGTGGGCAAAAATTACAGAGACCGGTCTAATAGGTGTCCAAAAACAAAAGAGCCTCTGAGTTCCAAGGTCTGGGTTTGGGTCGAGGTCTGTCACTGACATGCTCTGGGGACAGAATCACAGACTTCCACCTCTTCATTCAGCACCAGTGCAAGGCTGGACTCTGGCATGGCTTCCCCAAACCTTACTGCCTATGGGGATCAACTGGGAGTCATTTTTAAAATATTGATTAAAGTTCCCCCCCGCCTCCAACCACCCAAACTAAATCAGAACCTCCAAGTGGGGCCCCAGATGTTGCTTATTTTTCAAGATGGGGGATGGGTGTCTCACTATGTTGCCCAGGCTGATCTCAAACTCCTGGGCTCAAGGGATCCTCCCACCCCAGCCTCCCTAGTAGATGGCACTACAGGCACACACCACCCACCACACTCAGCTCCCGCTTTTTAAACAAGATCCTCAAAAGATCCGAAAGTACCTAGGCCATGAACTGGCTTTTAGGAATCACTAGACGAGAACATTCCCAGGGACCCTAAATTGCAGGAGTTGACCTCCTGTGCCCCAGGCCTCCTCCCTACCCAGATGTGTCACTTACAGCTGACTTTCAAGTCACCAGACCCTAGAGAGTCCTCAGACTCCCAGGGAAGCCATCTAGCCCAGCACGGGCTGCGCACCCGCTGCCACTGAGGGGACATCGAAGAAACAGGACTCAGCAGTGCCGGAGTCAGGAATCTGGTATCTGGTTTTCTCGACACACATGCCACTGTGCCTGAGTCCACCTCAGTGAGAAGCCAG